AGGGGAACCAATTCAAATCACATGTATCCGATGATTGCAGCATTAATACCTATGTCACATGGCAGTGCAAGGTAGACGTGACCCGGACAACCTAGCTCGACCTCATAAGTCACAAACTGACTTAAAAAGGGAAAAGGGGCAGTTAGCAATAGATAGATAGCTTGCGGTAGATTTGCTAAATTTCGGGTGTCTCCTCCCCGCGGTTAGGTCCGCACCTTACTTATTATATTTAAACGCGTCCGACTCCCGAGTGAGAGCCTGGGTTCGAATCCTGGCTGCGTCATGACCCCTGAGTGCCGATATGCTATGGCCGATGGCTTGGCTTATGGCCTATGGCTTCATGTAAGGAATGTGACTACATGTATCGCGTTCCTTTAAGACATCTATATTATAATTCTACTTGGCAACTTGAAATAACGAGTACATGAGTGTGGCCACCTAACCGACTATGCATAACTCATGTGAACATGGAGCGTTACAGGACCAAAGAGCTATGCTGAAAATAAGCTGCAATTGACAAATATTGCGATACACCATTGTATTGTGTAATGATCAAATCCAATGTGACATTTTTGAAGCTTCTGAAATATGACGCATGCTGTTGTTTACCAGCCCTGTGTTTTATGAATGGCAAACTGGTTTGCCTTGTGTGCTACTCATTAACATACATCATCTTATCTCTTAAACACAGCAGCGATCATACGTGACAAGACCCTCTAGGGCTCTGCCTCGGCTGCTCTCTGTTCGTGACATCGCAAGTGGACTTTTTTGCATAAAGAACGAATTGATTTTCCGAGCAAACCAGCTGCGCACGACATTTATTAAATCCAGACACATCAGGTTGGACCAACACAGATTTTGGGCTGACCCATGTAGCCTACATAAATGGCGGACTCGTCAAAAGTTGGCTGGCACAAAGTATGCCAAAGACTATCAAGCACGCTAATCTAATAATTGCAGCTGCTGACACCGCAATGTACCGGAATTAAAAATGTCGGCTGATAAAAATATCCGGCTGCTTCCTCGGCAAATCAAGGATAGCAAAAATCAAGGCTAGTAAAGGGGACTTTGACCAATGGTGAACAGCCAGGCGTCGGGTGCCTGCTTTGAATTTGCACAGAAATCCGCTGCACAGGTGAAGAATAAAGCTGATAAGATCCGTACCCATTTCATTGCTTTACAAACGACCAGTGGCTAAAGTTCCCGGGAAGTATTTCTCTTGTGACTTTTAAAGACAGCGTGTCCTACTTGTCGCCTTATCTTAGACCACCTCCATGTCTGCTGTCAAATAGCAATCCAACAGGACAGCTCAAACTCTTCTGCCTTTACATTGTAACTAAACTGTACAGCGCACTAGATCGTCAACAGAACCACGCTCTCTGTCGGCAAGCATGACGAATGGTACCCGCAGCTCAGGGCGCTGGTAACTCAGCTGTCTCACTGGGTTTTCGGGAGACCGGAGGTATGGGGTTCGATTCTCCGCGGTACCCGTCAGTGTGACAGGCAGGCGATGTCACTCAGCCTCAGCAGCTGAGCGTGTCGTACAGCTCCAGCAACCAACTGATGAGCATAAATCGAACTCCTTGGTCAGCTAATGTGTCAAGGCAGTCAATGATCCCAGCATGGTCTTAAAGATTAGGATCAAACAGGGCTGAGAAATCTAGCTTGAATTTTGTGCCGCATGTGGTACCTATTACATTCACATAAGAGCCTTATTACTCCGAGAAAAAAACCAGGAGAATGCAGATATAGATGGGTTGATATTTTGGCAACATGCCTTTATCGAAACAATAGCAGAGAGCTTTCGATTTGGCCTCTGCTATTATTTCGATAAAGGCATGTTGCCAAAATATCAACTCACCTATACATCCATTCTCCTGGTTTCCTCCTAGGAATAAGGCTATCACTACTGGCTTATCTGCGTGAAAAGTGTTCCTCGCCAATGCGCGGAACAACTTACGAAATGAAAGAAATGTTTTACAGCTTAGGACACATTGTCCGATCAGAGCGTACTTGTCGCTTGGCTTACGATCAAAATACCCGCCACATACATGGTGATGCAGAGCAGTACATACGAGACGTTTGTGCTGCGTTTCAATCACACTGAATGGTCTAGTGCATACCTTATGTAAGGTATCTCTCTGACAAGATATAAGGGAAATTTTTGTTATTTTTTAACTTTTACAAAACATATTTTAGTTTTCTGTCAGTGTTTCACGCCCCTATTTCATTCCATTTCATTTTTGGATGTCAAAGCGGGTAATCTGTCTTCGTGGGATGACATATTGAGCGAGACAAATCATTTATAATTGGTTTCTGGTATGATGCACAAACGTGTATAATACTTCAAGAATGTAGCGTGAGAACGTACCGCTGGACGTGATCTACCCGGCACTGCGAGCTTGCATATCCAGTGGCACTCAAACTGCTACTGAAAAGCTGTGCACATCACACGGTATTCAAATTTGGATTGGGTGATCCAGTGTCAAAAGCTTTTCACGGTTTTGGCAGAGCCGAAGTGAGGTAGGCAAATATGGAGGGTCTCTAAAACTAGTGATCCACATTTGTCTACAAAAATGCAAGAAATCTTCCAAATGTGCTACTCACTCGAAAGCGCATGAAGGTATGTTGTGCTTGGAGCTCCCGTTATGCTCTCAAAATATGACTCAGAACCAGAGACGCTCTCGCACCTTTCTCCCTTCCCGCGGTTACGGCTATCGCACACGACTGCAACAACACAATCGAAATAAACCGCGCCGCTCGCGTCAGATGGACTCCGTGGAAGCACCACCACAAACTATTCCAAGCTCTGCCATGAGCGATGACGGGTGTCCGTTCCGGGGATCGTCCCTCGGACGGCCGCGGGCGCGGACCGTCCTGGATATATTCTTCTAAGGGCCGCCGCGGTCTGTTGTTGGTAGATACGTCTGATGAATGGCGGCGCACGGCCCCAGGCAATGCCGGCCCATTCATTCCGACGGAGACGCTGGCGGCCACCGCTGAGACCCCCCCTCCCCCCACCGCAGGGGGGGGGGGCTGACCCTAACTAGCCGGGGCGGGACCACACTGAATGGATGACTGCTTTGTTCTAAGAAGGCTTGAGGCAGCTTAAAAACACATTCATTGCCTCGTGTAACGCTGAACGGAATTGGCAACACAAAGCTCAAATCGAAGCGAATTGAGACCCCCCTCGCCCCCCGCAGGATGGGGGGGGGGGCTGACCCTAACTGGCCGGGGCGAGACCACACTGAATGGATGACTGCTTTGTTCTAAAAAGGCTTGAGGCAGCTTAAAAACACATTCATTGCCTCGTGCAACGCTGAGCGGAATTGGCAACACAAAGGTCAAATTGCAGCCAACAAGACCGTGCCTTGCAATAATTGCATTGTTCGTCTGTGCAGTTTGCTACCGGGCCAATGCCAAACGAATGTCAGGCCCTGGTTGGTCGTGGAAGTAAGGCTACCACTATCCGTGGCCAGATCGGGGTGAAAATAGTTGATGGCTAGCTTGATGATGGTATTATCCTAAAGTAGCGCTTCACTTATACGCTTCCCAAACCAGATACCTTAACTGGCGTGTCACAAGCACGGACGCTAAAAATACACGCATATTCCTGGACTTTTACTGACGCGTGACGTCATTGGTGTTCACCCGAGGGGAGGTGATCATGTGTCTTTCGAAGAATAAAGACCTATAAAAACGGATCGGTTGAATGAACCAATCCGCCCAGGGCGCAGCTCTCAAAATAACACTGGGGTAAAAATATTCCATGGGCATGCGGAGATCTTAAAATAGTCAGAAAATTTAGTGGTAATTCCGGCCACGCTTTGGTCAGAGGAACTCACCTGTATCAAACATGTGGCTAAAATTCGCTTTGAGAGGCCATGCTGTTAAATATTCGATCCCGATTATGCGCTCCGCATACGCCGGCCCGACAGTGAGTTATATTTTGATTTCATACATCCACACATGTCCAAAACACCGGTTTGGATATACGGCCAGAACGGCCGTAACTTCCGAAATCGCCTGGCGCGGCGCGTACGACGCGCTGATTGGATGTGCCATGCTGTTGGAGTGCTCCGATTCGGTCCTCGATGTCGGCAGCCCAGACGACCCCAAACGGAATACAACTGCCGTACGCTCTCCAATGAGCTAGCTGCGCTTTAGGGCCAGGAGCAACGCTGTAAAGCTCCAGGTGGCAGCCAGTCCGACAATCCAGCGGCCGTTATGCTCCGAATAAAGGATCAAAATTAAAAGCAGGAAACAGCTGAAACCCTGCCGTGGCGACATGTCAATGATACTTTACAGATGTGGATTATCTTATGCCATATACGCACCGATGGCATGCACATATAGTCCATGACAGTGAAATTATGCACTCAGTCATAACCGGATGCGGTAACAGCAATAACTTAAAAAGGAGCGACACCTGCGGGCCGAATGATTCGCCGTAAAATGAGCATTATCGCGATTATTTGTCGACACTCTCCTGCGGCACGTCCCACCTCGTCAGCTACACTGCAGGAATGCTCACCCTCGCATCCACCTTGAACATCGACCAGAAGAAGCCACACATTTCGGGTGCGCGGGAAGCATATTCACCGTGCACTTTCGGTGCGTGAAACACTGGTGAAATGCCGCAGCGCTCAGCGACTGTGGCCAGTGTCCGAAGAGCCATCGCATGACTAGAGCAGCTACCCCTCACAATGAATGAGCTCTCACCACGAGTCCACCCGTCGGGTGTCCTCATTATGAGTCCTCCCATCAGAAGCCTCCTCACCAAGAATCCTCTCCGCCGTTCCTCGTCGTAGTCCGCAGGTACGCGCGCTTCCGTTCGTCCTCCACATATCGTCTGCAGAAAGGCCGTCCTCGCGGAGTCCGCCGCCACCCATGAGACCACCAGTTTTCCCCATTGGCGCAGGCCCCGCCCAGACGGCGTTTGGCAGCGGGCCGCCGCCGCCGCCCCGCCGCGGCCGTGGCCGCCCACGCTGGCCCACACAGCCTCTACCCACGCGTCGGAGACGGGCGAGGGTGCCGTCCTCTCTCAGAGGAGGAACCCGCCGACGATCTGGAGCAGCAGCAGAGCCAGCGAGGCGGCCAGGCTCGGGCAGCGGTTGGTTTGCATCGCAGCGGGCTTTTCCCCTGAAACGAACATAGAGTCTGGGTACGACGCGCTGGCAGATAACGCTAGTTTGAGTAGGAATAGGCCTTTCAAAGCTTCAGGGATTCTTTCCTTTCTCGAAGCTCAGATGACTCATTGTTGTAGCATTCCCCCAAGCACAAAACATGGGTGATGAACCATGCATAAGTTCAAGAGAAAAAATGCGCGAAAAAACAAACGGCACGCAATGCGCGAATTCGTTTTGTGTGACATAACAGAAACCATGACGCAAATCTTGAATATATCGTGCTGATGGCATTCCTCTTTGTGTAACACAAACGCCACTACCACTTCATGCTACTAGTTTCTTCTCCCAAACTTCCGTCGCTTAACACCAACACCACGCGCTCGTTCAAAACGTCAGCGACCACCCGTACCAGTACACGGTCAAATACCTCAAGCCCGCCATGTCAACTCACGAGCACTCCTCACTCCTCCGTTCTCCTCAGCACTGAAGCCCGACCCATCCCGTGCCGAGCCGGCCCGCCCAGAGCCGCAGTACCTTTCAGCACGTGCACCTTGACACTGGCAGGGTCGGCATTGGAGGGGCTGCAGGTGTAGATGCCGGAGTCCTCCGAGCGGGCGCTCCGGATGGTCAGGTGCGAGTCGGTGGTGCTCGCGCGCTCCATCGTGACCGTGACTCGCCCCGCCGGCGTGTTGTAGTCGATCACCTGGAATGGACAGCAGGCGGTCGCTGGAGACAGTCTCCCTGGACGGTGGCGGGGACGCTGCGAATAGCGAGGTGATGGAGGAAGTGCAAACTCTGCGTAAATGGGTGACTGATGAACGGTGCATCACGGATAGTTGGTTTAACACGCGCCCGGGTGGCCGGCTAGATGCCCGTCGCCCGGGTGAGGGGTCAATTTGACCCCCCTAAGATCTCGGGAACTAAAAAAGCTAGGGACACCAAATTTACCAAATGTCTTGACCTGTACATGAACTCACTTAGGTCAAAGTTTGAGCTTCCTAGATCATGACCTTAAGGTCAAAATAGGTCAAACAATATCAAATTCCATGTTGGTCTTTAAAGTTCCCCAGAACCTAGGCAGTTGCTTCTAAGCAAAAGGTCACAAACCTATTTTAGGTCAGTGACCTAGTTTGACCTTTTGAAGGTCATGGCGAGCAGAATCATACAAGATTGCTCTGAGTTTTGCATTTGAATAAGCGACAAAGATTACGATATGTTCGGCAGTACGATATGATTACGGCAGTATGTTCCTAAAACAAAATGTTGACCCGGATCATCTTAGGTCAATAGCTTGTTCTGACCTCTAAGAAGTAAATAGAAGGTGTATAGTGCAGTTCCTGCTGTCAATAAATTTGGAATAAGAAACCACAAACTATCCCATACAGCAAGCTCTAGAAAAATAAATAAGGTTGGCTTTGACCTCGGTCTGGCCTTCGTACCTGACCTCAGGTCAACGTCATTTGCTCATTTAATATTTGCGGTGCCTAAAAAAGCATCTCATAGATGTATGACTTCGTCAAACATTCCGTTATTGCATCAGATTGGACGATTTCCTAGACATTACCTTCGCTGAAACCATGGCCTAAATTTGACCTGCCATACAAGGTACATCTAAATTTGTTATGTCAAGCAATCTGCTATTCAATTGTCTACATCTATGCAAAATTTGGCGCGGCTACGCCGCGCTGTTCGGAAATAATTCCGGAAAACCTTCGGGGTGGGGGAGGCAATTTGATCCCCCACCCGAGCGCGTGTTAAGAGGAACTTCGACCAACTTGGTCAGTTCGCGCCTATGAGCGACACATCACGGGTAAGGTGACGCCGATATCATATTCATAGAACAGCAAGGTGATATACATCGGCGCATATTATGTGAAATTCGCTTTGATATGGGGCGTTCAATTTACACAGCCAAGCTGAGCGCACGTAGAAATCCATGAATGATACCCTCATTGGAGGAGACATTCTTTTTTCCTGGGCTTAAATGCGGCTGATATTGGGCTGCTTCGCTTTGGATTTGATACTTTATTGTAATGTATTTCAGTCTGAAATCGGCGATCGGGAGGCACAAAGATGTCAAAGGTTTGCCTCCCAAATTTGAATATTTTCCTGGCTTTACAGCGAAAAAAACGTTTATCACAAGTCACTGGATGCTGGATCGCACGTGCTTGCACAGCCACAGATCAGAATATTCAAGAAGCGAAAGTGGGAAGTGAGTGGAAGTGTGATGCTAATTTTCTTGACAAGGAACTTCATGTGCATTATACCACAATGGGGCTGAACGTATGCGTTTTCAAAATTTTGTTTCTTCCGGTGCTTGATCGCGCATCTGGCCCACTGGTTCGTCCCGATATACTATGATTGATCATAATGTGTCATGTCCTGGTCGCTTGCGATGGTGGAACACTATCTATGAAGAAAATGACCATGGATGAATACGGATCGTCTTCAGTTTAATTTTCTTTAAACAAGCTGGCTTTAAATTGAGAACGCTGGTACAAGTGAATGTGCAAAAGTTTAACAGCTTCCTTCATAACCCGTCCACATATTTTCCCAAGTTCTCCGGGCCTTATGCTTTTATACATTTCTGCGTCCATGCACCCTGATGTCAAATATTTAAATGCACTCAGCGCATTTCGCTATTTTTACATTTCTGGACATTGCGGCACGATGCATTTGAATGTCGGATGGTACAGTCATCAACACTTGCCGTTAAGCAATCCAATGCTGTGGCATGTATGCGCCTGACCACATGCCAAACATCCTCAGGACCTCCGCAAGACCAGTTAGCATCTGACGATAGCCAGAAAACAGCTAGACGAGGCGCTGTTTGTAAAACAATACCGATTAGGAGAGACGTTCGAATAATCAGGGCTTACATCAGCCAGCCTTGAACATTCCTCAAGGTAATGACTTCCACGCGTAGTCAGACAGCCGGAAATCCATTTGTGGCGCGTTTGGCATATCTCTAACCCAGGCCGTCCAGTCTGTGAAGAGATGCCCTCACGTGGCGGCACGTGCCGCACGTGCCCTCGTCCCGATCATGAACCCCGGCTAACCGATATAAACGCAGCGGCTCGGAGCTCTTTTAAGCCTTTTGCCAAAGGGCCTGCAGAATTTAGCTCCGTTCCACGACTGGCCCTGTTGAAGCCCGCGAGGTTGGTATGCCACACCTCGTCCGTTTGCCCTTTGAAATGCGAATTTATCCGCGCGCTTGGCTTACAGATAATCCCCCGAAATTGAAGTCATGGCCCGCATCCGATCGAACTTTAGTCAGCAATGACGCTCAACCGTTTTAAATTCCGTGGGCACGCGGAGACGATTCCTGGAAAATGTCGTTTTACTGCTTATCTTTTTCCTGATTAATTCCATTCGTCTCGCAACGTCGCATAAAAGCACGCTTGAGGCAGCCAGCTCGCTAATGATTATGTACCTTCTCGCGCTGTTTTCAAAATCCCACGTTGGAACGTCATGATCTATACCAGCTGTTTTCCACGATATATCAATATTTAGCACCCAGACAGCCCTTCGTTACAACTGCCACAAATCCAGCATTGAATACGTTACTTGCTTCGCTAAATTGCACATTCCCAACCAGACAGCAACGCCATACAGAATGGTGCTTCAAAGTCAGTATTAAAAAACGAGCAAATACCAAAAGACACAATGGTATAAACTCTCCGCGTCGGATACGGCAGCACGTAATGATCCATCCTGCCGACATATTCCAATAAGCCCAAAGGCACTGTGGTGCGACTCTTGAACTAAGGAAGCTTACATGACATACCATCTTCATCCCAAACATTAAGAAAATCGAAACTCAACACTCTTCCCCCCCCCCCCCCCTTCTCGAAGCCCGGGCGCGCGGCGGCGCTCACTTACGGCCCGGTCGTGGTACCAGAAGATGAACTCGATGGGTTCAGGGCTGTGCGATACTGTGCAGGTGAGATTCAGTGTACTGCCCACGTCCACGTAGATCTCGCCATCGCCCAGGACGCGAGCTGTGGGCACTGGCGGCGGCAAACACATTTATGGCCGGTAAACCTCGCCGCCAACGTCGCCGGACGCCATCGAAGCACAGCACAAACAACCTGGCACGTCTCAATAAATGCGCACGCACAGGTGTGTTGATGGATGCGTCCGTACATGAAGACGTCCTTTTATATATATATATGTATATATATATATATATATATATATATATATATATATATATATATATACATGTGTGTGTGTGTGTGTGTGTGTATGTGTGTGTGTGTGTGTGTATGTGTGTGTGTGTGTGTGTGTGTGTGTGTGTGTGTGTGTGTGTGTGTGTGTGTGTGTGTGTGTGTGTGTGTGTGTGTATGTGTGTGTGTGTTAATATGCATACACATACAAAAAGAGGAAGTAAAACCTTGATGGCAATAACAGCAGTCGCTATCTTTTGTATATTCGTCCACGTTTTGCTACATCGAGCATCATAAACAGGACAACATGATGTTTTTGAGTATTTGTCCTCAATTGTCGAAATGATGACACGCAAATTATCGAAACGTTGACGAATTACATAAATGATAGCGACCGTTGTCGTTGCCATCAAGTTTGTACTGCTTTGTATGCATATGTACGTATATATGTATATATATACATATATATATATATATATATATATATATATATATATATGTATATATATATATATATATATATATATATATATATATGTCTATTCACCAGAATACAGTAATGCATGGATGCAAATTCAAACAACTATATATGTAAAAATGCATGTTTGCGTTCACGTTGGCGGTCATTTGCATTCATCAGCAACGTTGAATGGACAGTCGCAGTGCAAATGCTCGTGCGAATGGATTTCAATAACGACGTTAAATCACAAACAAATCAAATAAAACACTGCTTGCGTTGTCGATAAAGGGGCCTTTGGGAGCAAGCGTCGCGAAAAGTCATATGGTATTCACGAAATCGCTGCTGTGAGAAATAGCAGTTGCTGTGACGGAAGTCACGGCAGTTGTTAATCTCTTGGAGGAATTCACGACACGTAGCAGTCGCATCGTAAACAAATGGTCTTTAAATGACAACTGATGACGACCTCATGGTGGGTTAGTGTGCCTGTGGGCTCCTCTTAGACCAGTAGGTCTGCAGCATGCGGCCTTAAAAAGTCTGTTATGATTTAAGCGTGTATTGCTGCCTACGTTGCGGCTATTGGCGGGTATTCCACATATAATATTCACCCGGCTGTGTTTTATTAACCACAAATTTTTTCACATTCACCCAGTCGCATTTTCTTAACCACAAATTTGTTCGTAATTAGTTAGCAATTGGTGGTAAGATATGCTGATGGAGAAAAAGTATATTTTTTACAAGTGAACAAATATCAAATGTTTCCATTTCGGTATCAAGTTTACCAGTTATGAAATGCATGTCCTTTCATAAATTCATGACATGTCGTAGGTCTAAGAGCAGACCAAAGCTTAGTAACCATTCAAACTGCTGTTAGGTACTATTACTTAACAATGCGTGCTGAACAGGGAATGCAATCTCGACACAAGAGCAGGAGCCATTCTGAGCCATTCCCACGGAAGTGGTGGATGCTGCCATGGGTGTAGTTCCTTATTCAATAAGTGGGCTCCAGCTCCAGTTACAGCCACCCACAAGACAAGTGTAGCCATTTAGCCCTGCTTAGCCCCTCTCGGGCATGTTTTGCCAAACTGTATTACTGGATTTTGCCCACAATTTGTCAATTAAACCACAAATCACAGAGATTACAAACCACATGCAAACACAAACGATGTGCAGGTACATCTAATGGATTCAACTTAACAGGACTTATTAAAAAAGCGAACATCACCCAATTCTTGAATTTAAATGAAAACATGACCCTGTGCTGCACCTCTAAAACATATTCGTGAAAACCCAAAAAAGCAGACTTATCCAGTTTTCTGCAGCTTGGACCTTATATGTAATGACATAACTTCACATAACAGCGGTTTCTGCGGGGGGCACACCCTGATTTGTTATCTAGCCAGGAGGTGAACCACGCCAAAACATTGATCAACAAATCATCCCAGCGGTCTCCGCGGCTTCAAAATAAACCCATCAAAGGACGAAGTCGGTGGACGGAGATTGCGTGAGGCTGGTCCGTATCGCAAACCCCTGAAGAAGCTCAAGGTGGCTTTTACGTGGAGTGCAGACAAACATGTGTTGCTAGCCACATTTTAATTAATTATCAGCTGTTGAGGAGTGAATTTTAAAAAAAAATTGTCTCGTACCTTGTAAATGGATTGATTTTTGGGATCAAAGCAAGCATTGCTTATTGTGTGAGCCATTGTCTTTACCTTTAGATCCCTCAATTCCAGTTCCGTATTTGGGCGGCTGAATTTGGTGGCGAAACTTTAACGTACCACAGTGCTAGGCACGGTCCGTCCTGCCCTCTGACGTCACCTGACCTTTAGTGCGGCCGCCGCCACTGGCCGCGGGCCACATCTGTGCGCCTGAGGCGACTCGAGCCCATACCGCCTCGGGTGGGTGGACCGGAAGGCGGGTGCTCTAGCCAAGTAAGTCAACGGAATGGACAGGCTCAGTGGTTTCAAAATAAACCAATCAAAGGACGAAGTCGGTGCACGGAGATCGCCTGAGACTGGTCCATGTCGTCAGCTCTTGAAGGGGCTCTGATGCACAGGTGGCCTTTCTCCGAGGAACCACCTTTAATTTCTGATGAGGATGAAGGAGGTTGTGGCGAACTTTGAGAAGCTTGGGTGAACTTGGAGGAGCCACCGGAAAGAGCAGATTATTTTCTAGGAGCTTTCAAGAGGTAAGATGAGCGACCGGGACAGGGCCTTTCTGTAATTTTCCTATTTTATGGAATTGGCAGGGCTGTTATTGTGGTGCCTATTGGCCATGGACAATGTTGCTTTTCATATTCCTTCTATGGTGCGTGGTAATAGGTGATACCATCCATTTTTTAGTGTATATGCCAGTGTTTCGTTGTGAAATTGGCAACTTGGCTGGTTAGAATCGAAATTTATTTTTGTAGGTTTCTGGATGCTTGTGGTGGTCTTGAGGATAAGTATGTATGCCGACAATTAAAATAAGATCTTTTGATGTAGGCCATGACAAAAAATGACAGATGAGTATGTTTGCAGGTTTTTCACTTTTGCACTAATAATAAAATCCCGCTTACGCTTACCTGGAGGCAAAATGAGTTTCGCTGGTCCATGGGAGAAATTTGGGGCCATTGCCTTACGGGATGGTTGGGGGCCCTCAATCTAGAATGAAGAACGGGTGTGGGTATTTCAAATCTAAACAAAGTGCAACTTCGCTGTGGGTCACTCGCTAAATAAAACAGGCTCCGCTCTTTCCGCATATTCCCATCGCTAACTGCACGGGTTTGAAACCAAGGCCGCCCATACCTGGACACTACTGGCCCACCACGGATGTTCCTGGTCTTGAAGTGACCTCACCCTATCACACTCCACTACACAATGCCGAGTCCCCTCCGACCACACCAGACGTGACTTTCCTTTCCGCGACAATTGTTGACCAGTAATATCCACGCAAGGTGACAGTCCTCCACTGGTCGGTCGCCGACCATACCAGCGATTTCGTCCAGCCCTACCACTCATCGGCAGCCCTGCCCTTTGCGTATCACTGACACACCTGACCTCCCCACCGCCCGGTGGCCACTTTGCACCTCACCTCTGACCACCAGCCTCTGGTCTACCCCGGTCACGCGTGATCGGTCGAGAAGGTCTCCTGACTACCCGTGACTGGTGGCCAGGTCCCCCTGACCACCCGTGACTGGTGGCCAAGTTCCCCTGACCACCCGTGACCGGTCGGCTAGTTCCCCTCTCACCACTGGTGACTGGTCGGCCAGGTACTCTCACCACCCGTGACCGGTCGGCTAGTTCCCCTCTCACCCCTCGTGACTGGTTGACCAGGTCCCCCTCACCACCTGTGGCCGGTCGTCCAGGTTCTCTCACCACCCGTGACTGGCCAGCCCCCCCCCCCCCCCTCACCACCGGTGACCGGTCGGCCAACTGACCCACGACATTCAGCCGGATGGGCCGGCTGATGAGCGGCGCGGTCGGCAGCTGGCACCCGTACACTCCGGCGTCCCTCGGCTGCACGTACTTGATCTTCAGCACCCACTCGTTGCTGTCCGGCTGCGGGCGCATGGCCGAATGGTCAGGGTGACGGGCTCAGGATCGTGAGCGTCGGGTTTCATTCCTGTCAAGTGAAAAAAGTTCGATGACCCCGGCTTCAGACAAGGGTGGCAACAAAAGCGGCGATCACAATAAAATTTGGCTAAGAATACCACGGCAGGTATGGTGACCACTCTTCAAAGCCGCTGGCAACGCGCTGGGGTTTGAATCGGGAGACCGACTCGTGTCTCAAGCGTTGCAGAATATTTCGCCGGACGAACTGAGACAGCAGATGTAGGACAAATTGTTTTGGTAGTGATGGCAATCATTTAAGATTCTGTCGATGATCCATGCTTCGGGCTGTTCACGGGCAGCCCGGTACCGAACAAATAATGGGATGGAATGAAATGAAATTCGCTGGAAAAGTTCGATCAAACAGAGATTTCCCTGATATATCAGCTAGTTGAGTTCCAAAAACGTGCCTGGATTGGCCAACTCCACGTTAGTACGATTAGGTCATTTTATTTGGGATATTCTGACTACGATGTGATTGCGTATTGTTTTCGAGAATGAACCAGAGGATGCGTGTTTCACACGGAGAACCAGAACTGTTCCCGAAGCAGGTCGGGAGAGAGGCAGGACAGTGGCAGGGACAGGGGAACGTCATAACATGGAGAGATAACCATGGTCTGATGTCATCGCAAAGTAGGCCTTTGCACGCCAATAGGCACAACTCTTTTTGCGCTGCTTTGGAAAGCTCGGTTCCTCAAATATTCGCGGACAGTTAAGTTTAAATGAAATGCTTACACTTACACATTGAATATATTGAGGCAAGTATCAGGTGTGACGAAATAAGCTCACTTATGACTGTTGCTATGCTTTTAAGTTAAAAAGACTGTTTTAGACAACACAATTCCTCCATTTAGTAAATATGCTTCTCAATGCGTCATTGTTTGATTGTTTCATTGTAGCTTGCACAAACTTGATTCAGACCCCTTGACGGCCGTGATGTCTGGAAATCGTGCTCACCTATGCCAGATATAAACGACTCGACAACGGTCTTATTTGCCTTGATCGCCGCATGGCCAGTCGAATGAAAGAGTTTGTATGCCGTTATTATGGCGCCATGGATGCCTAGGTGAACTTGAAATAGACTACACAAAATAGTCTGCACATCTTCGCGAGCGTGCACCTCAGAAACGGGAGCGGTTTAGGTCCTAGGAAGGACGGGCCTGTGAAAAGCACCAAATAATCTTTAAAATAGCCATTTCAGTCCAAAACCCCACATAAATGTGGAACACTACCTTTAACAAGACCAGCATCAAAGTGGCATATACCTATGTTAGCCGCCACAAAAAATATAACTAAAACCTTAAGCGCATAAATGCGGCGTGCATCCTTCACAGAATACCCCATGACACAGAGAGACGGCGGGAGGGAGGCTATCACACCAGCGCTACAATGTTTCCAAACCTGGTGGTACAGGACGATGCGGTTGTCGTGGGCGTACGTTTTCTGACCCGAGCTGAGTATTGCCAGGTCTCTATGTCGGATCCAGGACACCTGCCAACCAAACGTAAGGGAAATCAGCTACCCGAGCAGCTGCACATGCAGTATGTCTGCTTCGCTACTTCACGGAGTCGTCACTTGTGTTCGCTGGAAAGGCCTTTCCTCATGGAAGGAAGCTGCGCATCAAGGATGCTAAAGAGCATGTCGCTCGGAGATGGATGTGAGGCCGAGCAGAGGCCGCGAGATCACAGAGTTCGTCCAGAACAGAGGTCACAAGATCACAGAGTTCGTCCAGAGCAGAGGCCGCGAGACCACAGAGTTCGTCCAAAACAGAGGTCACAAGTTCACGGAGTTCGTCCAGCGCAGAGGCCGCGAGATCACAGAGTTCGTCTAAAACAGAGGTCGCGAGATCACAGAGTTCGTCCAGAACGGAGGCCGAGAGGTCACAAAGATCGTCCAGAACAGAGGCAGCAAGACCACAGAGTTCGTTCAGAACAGAGGTCGCGAGATCACAGGGTTCCTCCAGAACAGAGGTCGCGAGATCACAGAGTTCGTCCAAAACAGGGGTCGCAAGATCACAGAGCCTGTCCAGCGCAGAGGCCACGACATCACAGGGTTCGCCCAGGTCCTTGATGGTCCGTTCGCACACTGAAGAATACAGGCTCTTTTATTTTGCTCTTCGTGCCAGTGCCTTGACAGTCGCCGGGCACCACATACAATCACGGGGAGCGATATATATCGACAGCGACCACAGGCCTTAATTCATGTAATAATTTGACGGCTAAGGTTAACGACGGGTATACTTAACGCCCAAAAGTACTGGAAATACAACCGGTGTGGTCTAAGGTATTTTACGCGGCATCACAGCCTGGCTAAGCCTTGGGTTCGTGAAGTCCCAAATAAGGATGACAGTCACTCTAAATAGTAGCCTGGATGAAATGCCAAAACTCGATGCTTTGTCAGACTGGGAGCACTAAAAATGCCTGATGTGAACGTCTTAAACAGCCGCTAGGCACGGCCCCCAATATTTTGCGCTCCAACAATCGATAACATGGCGATTAAATGCCGAAACAATATGCCCCATCACTGAGCTGCAATTTCGGCCCGAGTGTTTCGCCGAAACGTGCCCATAAGTGACAAGAGGAACGACGTCCATCAGTCTTGAAGCATCGTTCAAGTGAAATTTCGCCAACCTCCGTCAAATTTGCAATCTGTCAAAACGCTCCATTCGCGGAAAATGTCTCCGGCTGGCTGAGGCAAGCTCTGTCCGCGTCCTGGCACTGCGCAGATGAAATAATGCGGCTCAGGCCTCGCAGCTTGAACTAATTTAGGCCCTAACGGCCACTTCGGTTGTGTCATGCATATGCTCTTCAATGGTTAACCGTTAGCTTACTGGCACTGCCTAGGCCTCTCACAACTCACAGAGCTTTTCCGGTGAGTGGTTTCTTGCACATCATTTGCAGCACATTTTGCTGCACGATCCTGTCTCTTGAGTGAAATCACACAAAAAACTGGATGTGGGCGACGTTTTTTTTAACTCAATCTTTATGACCCAGCGCTTGGTATAGTGGCGAAGCACGGCTGCTTACGTGAGTACGTCGCACTTCAGTCAGTAATTAATTACGTCAGTAACAGCCAGTGATTACGTTGCAGCAGTCAGTGATTTCAAATTGCTCAAGGAGCACTGATGTAGCGAATTTTAGTCGCGATCCCCGACATCTTCTCAGCGATGTTTTGTGTAAAAACTTCCCACTCATCCAGCAGTCCGAAGTTCACCAATACCGAGCACCACACCTACGTATTAATGCACAGCAATTTCAGAAGCAATGCAGGACAGCGTATATAACTTTAACATACGAAGATTAAGGGTAAATGCGATATAAGTGCATAGAGCATCTGTATTTCCACGCTCAAAGCACTAAATATTTTGCACGCAGCTCACAGAGCTTAGTGTTCGACGAGCAACCCCCCTCCCCTCCCCTTCGGACCGCGTACAGCGGCAGCTCAGGAATGCGGGCACTCCGGCGCCTGCAGCGGATGCCGGCTCCGTCCGCCGTCACGTGACCCCGTACCCCAGGGCGCCATTCCTGGCGCGGCTGCGGCGCTGACGGCGCACCACTGACCGTCTTATTGCCGATGTCCCAGACGCGACAGGTGAGATAGGCCGCCTTGCCGGCCACGGCCGTCACGTTGGCCGGGGTCGCTGGGTCAAAGTAGGGCCGCCGGCGGATCGGCCGTGGGTCCGACCCACCGACCCTGCCGCCCAGCCGACCCTCTGCAACGAACACCCGCGAGTCAGCGAAGGGGCGACGCTGCTGGAACACTCAGAGCAGAGAGGGGAAGGCATCTCAAAGCTTTGTCGCTTTCTGGGTAATAGCGCTCTTCCCGTAATCTCAGATTATCTTGTAGGATAAATGCCGTTTCTCCAATCATGGCATGTGATGTAATACAACTGTGCCTCATGCGCAAAGGCGTCCGAATATACCGTTCTAATTACCTTCATAATAGTCATTCACAGCTCCACAGATTTCCTAAACGACTTTTGAAACGTTGGGCGGCGTGAGAGGAGCGGGAGCTAGCCTCACTCCATGCCTTTCACTAAACGGCATATTGTCCTTATCAATTGAGACGGGAAATATGATTCGAAGCTGTGAAAAAAGACCGAGCACGACACCTAAATCGATTCTCAGTCAGATAACTGTGATATTGAAAAAACTGACTGGACACATCTATGTCTGGGGCTAAACATATCGTTGGTATGAAGATATGCGATATCACTGTGTGCGTATGGGGCTGACAAGCACATGTTCAAACTCTGTGAGTTCGACATAATGCTCATTAATAATGGCTTCAGCCTGCTGCGGTGCTTCGCAGCTGTTGAACCCACTTCGCAAACAATCTGGTGTTCAGACACACAACAACAACAAAAACGCGTCTCGACAGCACACAAAAAGCGTCTCAAGAGCGCTGAGCAACACAATATTAAACAAAACTACTGAACAATAAAACAGCACCACACTCAGGAAAAGGGTGTAGGACGACTCTGCGGCGGAAATGAACGTCAGCTGAGCATGACGTCATCCCAGAGGGCAGTCATGTATTACGCACACTGGCTGTGACAATCAGCTGATGAGCGCCCTGCGCTGGTCACAACATGACCTCATTCCATAAATGCATTCAATACCGCTCCATCGGTGAGCCTTCTGTCGCCGTGCATGGCACAACTCTCAGACGAAGACGGCGGACCGCCCGGCCTTTGCAGCGCAGCAGCGCGAAGACAGCCATGAACGCGCCAATAGCTTGAGGCAGTTTGCAGCCCTTCATACCTGGCCGACGCCGGCGATGGTGATTGTTCAGACAGGGCTGAGCCCCGGCTCACTAGTCTGGCACGCTGCACGTGCTGCGTCCCAGCATCTGCAGCGTGCCAGTATTGCTGTTACATACGAGAACCCTCCGGCTGTCCCCCGGATAAAATCGGCTTTGGCTCCCCGAAATAGGCGATTCCGTCCTTTTTCTCGCCCTGGGAATGATATCTGGTGGTTTTTCTTCGTGGCAGACGGCCTGGGACCCTCACACAGGCGTTGCTGTACGGTGCCCCGGAAACATGAACAGCTCAACCGAAAATCCCACGGCACAGCAAGCGGTGGCCAGGCACAGATGCGGTGACGATGGATCTGGTTTGTGACGCTAACAACAGTATGACAACGGTCCGTTAAACCGTAGGCGTGTTTCAACACAGGTCACGCTGTTTTGCACACCGCTATGTTTCGATGGCCGCCCGTGTCGCCAAAGAAGCGCTTGGCGGGGTCGTATGAGGATACCAAGTGAGAATGAAGAAGTGAGTCGCTCACCCTTTTTCACGCGATGAAGTTTGCTTAGATTCCATGGGGAGGGGGAGGGGGAGGGGGAGATTGAGACCCTGAGGCCTCGGCGTGCGTTGGACAGGTTGTGACGTGCGAGGTCTCAGACTGAAGATTTCAGTGCCAGCTAGCTATTCTTAAAAGGGAGGCGGTCGCGGGAAGCCCGAAAGGAGCTTTCTTGGCTTGATGCGACCTGCAGCATTTGCCCTGTTGTTTCAACCCGGCCGTGTACGCTGTCCTGCAATGAGCAGAACAGTACTGCAGAAGATCTCACACTGCAATCATGCCCACGGCGTCGTTCGGGGGCTGGCGAGGTGGCGTCCCATACTGCCTGATATCGACCATCGGCCAGTTTCCTGGAAAACTTTCCACTTCTCGTCTGGGCACCAATCCTGTCCGAGCGAGTTTTGAGAGCCGTCATCTCCCCAGCGCGTCCAGTGTGAATGGCGCAGCCTTCCCAGCTAAGTTTCCTGCCCAGAGGCGCTGACCCACGTGTCAAGACTTAACCCTCGACCTTGAGGCCGATCCTCGACCCTGGCGGTGCTCGATCACCATCGGGGGTTGCTGGCAGCCCAACGGCAAGGCAGCTTCCGGGAAAGGTGCTCGTGCTGCTGGGCTTTAGACCAAAAGCCATCTGATGAAATTACATGTGATGACATACGGTGCTCACCCTGTTTTAGCGGCAGTGAATGGATGTGAGAATGAAGCCGGGAGGCGACGCATTCACTACTCGCGCACGCATTAATAACAAATGTCACACCCAGTGTGAAAACTCAAACTAACGCCACGGTACTTTGCGCATGAGAAATGTCAGACCTAGATGTATCCTTACAGAATCTGAAGCGAAATGCACGTAAGTTCCAAACAACGTTTATCATCGTTTTTAATGTCACGTATGTGCATTGCGAGTCATGCTATATGCAGACGCCGATTGCCAAGGTGCTTTAGCGAAATGTCTGGCTTCTGACGTTACTCTGGAAGGGACACAGTATGATGGGTGACGGAAGTGTAGTGAGTATCCTCCGCGTCTTGGAGACCGGAAGAACCGGGCTTAGATTTTCGCGGTGCCTGCCATCTCCACCAGAGTGACAGGCAGGCGACCCGCCATCTCCGCCAGGGTGACAGGTGGGCGACCCGCCACCTTCGCCAGGGTGACAGGCAGGCGACCCGCCACGTCCGCCAGGGTGACAGGCAGGCGACCCGCCACCTCCGCCAGCGTGACAGGTAGGCGACCCGTCACCTCCGCCAGGGTGACAAGCAGGCGGCGCCATACAGCCCCAGCTACTGACTGTGTCGTAAGCCCCCCCCCCCCCCCGCCAAAAATGAGATTAAGCAAATCTCAACGGCGATTCCCTTGCCCGCATAAAACAATGTCGGAAAAAACAAATGCGAACGGCACAAACTTAATGCGCCGCAATGCACCTGACGTAAGCCAACGCGAGAGGCGGATTAAGTCACGCGCTGCTCGCCAATGCCAGCGCTGCTGGAAATGGCCCGCGCGCCGCTGCTGATACCGGGCCGTGCAGAACCAGCGCGTCACCGACGACGTGCGGGCCCGTGTCCGGGTACGCTGCGCTGCAGATGTTCCGGTTCACACCATCCCAATAGCAATGTCCGGATCGACCCCGCAAGCGCATGGCCGGGTTTTCAGCCAGACCATATGATCTCTGAACCCTTGTTTCCGGTCCAACCACCTGATCTCTGTACCCTTGCTTCCGGTCCAACCATCGTGATCTCCGCGCCTTTGCCGGTGCTTGTTTGTCCTACACCCGTCCCGCCTCCCAAGAGCTGTCACCTCATGCACTTTTTGGGGTGCGCTCCCCCATTAGTTTCAAGTCTTAACATCAGGTTAAGGCCGACGCATGGGAAGAACAACGTTAGAAATTCAAAATAACGGCTCCAGTTCAATCTGTTTAAAAAAGCGCCGTCCTCGCCCGCCGGCGTCTGCTTTTGCGGGAATCCGCTGTCGCTGTGGGTGCGCTTCCCAGACGGTGTGGGACCTGCCACTTCAGTGTCCGTACCTGCTCCGTCGCCAGTGCCTGGGTCTGCCGCGGCTCGGCCGGGAGTTCTCAAAACCACTAGTCGGTGTGAGACTACTGTTCAATACTATGCACACGACTCTGCCCCGCCCCTATGATAGCTATACACAGAGCACAATAGTATTTGGTGGCCCTTTAGATAAGCTGTATTATAGATGGCTAGAGGACTGGCATTTTATCGATGAAATTACCGCACCTAGTTTGAGAACGGTCATTAGCAGGCGTTTATACAGTATAACATGGTTGATAGGAGGTGTCCGTGGAGGGAATCCCAATGCCTTCACCAGGTGATATTGGCAGAATTAAATGTAGATATCATTACATAGATGAGGCAGTAGTATTAGCCTCACTCCTCGGGGAGAAACCAGGAGAATGGAGACGCAATTGGGCTGATATTTCGCTAGCATGTCTTTAGCGAAACAATAGCAGAAGTGAATAGACTATATTCACTTATAAATATAAATATTAGATATAATCATTTCACTTCTCTTTTTGTTTCGACAAAGGCATGCTGCCGGAATATCAACCCAACTACATCTCCATTCTCCTGGTTTTCCCCGAGGAATAAGGCTACCACTACTGTCTTAGCTATGTGAATAATGCTCCTCGCTAATGCACAGAACAACTTACGTATGAATATTATTAGATACAAATATGAAACAGCAGGGCTTTGACCTTATCCATGTCTACGCCCTAGACGCGGCGCTGTCTCTGGACTCATTCTACATCTGTCTTCGAGCTATTTCTCCGTCCATGATGTACCATTTCTGTGAGGTTTCGACCTTTGGAATGAGTCGTATGGTGACCGATACGAGTTCATGAAAGAGATGCTGCCCTTACGGAAGTCCTCGAGTTTCTAGAAGATTAAACCTCTAAAAAGTCAGATTGACCTAGAACTTTCGATATTATCACGACAATATAAGTTATAATTTAGGTCAAGAACTACCCCAGCTAGTTGTCTCTGAAGGGAAATGGCTGATTGAGGTTATTGTAGGTCATTAACCTCCCCTGGCATTGATGAACTCAAGACCAGTAATTTGTTATGTTCTTGTGATCAAGGAACTCGAAGTGAGCAGCAAAACTACCTCATAAGGCGGACTTCCCGCTTAAAAGGCATTCTGGAACGAGATTGATCTCATCTTCCTACCTGACCCAAGGTCAATGGAATTAGTCATAATGCCAACTTAAATTGTTTACTTGTCTAACGAAGAATCACAATGTTATACGACTTCGTGTAACACTGCTTGATCATCAGCTTGAAAAATGCCCTCGCTGTCAGCCATGATCTGACTTTAACCTACTAAGGGTCAGTAGCCTTTTGAAGGACATCTAATGTTTTACTCCAAAAAGTGGTCAATCAATTGCCTACGGCCTAATCAAGTTTGGCGTGGTCAGCCGCGCTGTTATGGAAAAGCCTTAGAGAAAAGGCGATTTGCCCCTTACAGATCCTCGTGTGAAAAGTGACTCCACTAGTAAATGAGGGAGGATATGACATTTACTATGATCCAATGGAGCTTAACCATACCACGTACAAGGCTCATATTGACGTTCTGGAGTCGAGGGAAACGGAACATGCATAACCGAACCACGGCTGCATCCACTAAAGTGAGTCCAGCCGCGACAAGCTGGTTGATCATTTGCGGACATCAGTTGCGTCATTTCCAGCGTTGCGTAATGTGACGAAATCTTTCCAGCACTGACACCTTAGCTGGGGCGGAACGCTCCCTGCGAGGACGGCAGCACCACACAAGACCGGCATCTCCATCATCAGCCGAACGCATTGAGACCGGACGTCCCACCATCGCCTTCCGTCGCCCTGCATAATTCACCTTCCGATGCTTCAGTTGGAGTGAGAGCCCGCCTCCGATCCATACCGGCGTCGGCGGCGGGTCAGCCCAAGTCAGTCCGGCGTCGGTGACGACATGCGGCCTGGCCGCCTCCGACGGGCGCGCTGAACACGTGCGGGTCCGGCACCCCGTCCGGCCGCTCCAGGCATGCCCCAGGTCAATTAGCTCGATCGACTCTCAATTAACGGCCCGCCTGGGTGCAGCGGAGGCGTAGTTGTGGTGTGGCGAATCCCGGCTTTTCTGGTGAGCGTACCACGAACTCGCCAGCATGCGGGAAACAATGACTGAATGCACTTCTTATGTAAATCTCGTAACGAAACGAGCTTTCAGCGACATATCCATCTCACCGCAGCTCTGTTTTGTTAAAAAATAGTCACGAGTATCTCATTCGAAATATGTCAATGCGAATTCCACGTCCTCATTACTCGTTTTTATTCTTCTCTGTGTACGTGCGTTGGGTTTCACATTTTGTTATTAATTTGGGGTATTTATTACTTCCATCATTGGGGTTCGTACGGATAAAGTAGCATCGTAGTTAA